CCTACCTGGATTAGTGATGCTCTTGTTCTGGTTCCTTCAGCTGCTAACGGACCAACAATATGTTGGGGAGGAGAGAGGAAAGGAGACAAGGAAACGTGGAAGAACAGAAGAAGGGAGGAGGTTGATGCTCTGTTATTCTGAAAAAAACAGACTACATGGACATACACACACACACACACATGATACACCCTCTGACCTGTGTGTGTGCATGTCAGTAATTGTGAGCATCTGCTGTCTTTTTATTGAAGCCTGGAAAAACCTGCAGGCAGGAGACCTTATCACACACAAATCTACACACACATACACGCACACACAAACAAACACACACACATATCTGTTTGCACTGCCGGTCTCTCCATTTGATGCTTTTCAGGTCCTCTCACACATGCAGTCACTTTACAAATAATTCACAAAACAAATATAATGTTCATCATTTTAAAGGTTACATTGTGTTTGTGTAAATCTGAAAACAGCCGGCTGTCGTCACTTTACTGCTGATACTTTTTTTCCACATCCTCCAACAGTTGTTGTAGACCTTCTTCAGCCAGCTGCAGGTTAAAGGGCTGCAGGTGATGTTTGTAGGGGGAGGGAGGGGGGGAGCCACCCTGCACGGGTCATTAGTCCTGAAGAAGGGCCTTGCAGTAGCCACAGATAGAAAGAAATGATAATGTCATGGCTCACCTGATCCGTTTCTTTTGCATTTTCATTGTCTTGCAAATGACTGCAGTGAACAAGGAAATACTAGCAAATAAACCCAAATTAACCGGGGAAAATAGAAGAAACCTCTGGGAGAGCAGCAGAGGAGGGATCCCACCCCCAGGACAGACAGCGCCAAAGGTGTAAAGATTAAAGGGGCCCTATTCTGCTAATTTTCACATGCATTAGTGGAATGCTGTTTACAGCATTCCACTATAGTTCTTCTGTTTCTTTATTCTTCCGCTTTTTCTTATTATTAGTGTGAATGCTGTGCAAGCATTCATTTTCAGCTAAATTCAGCAACAAATGTACACAGTTTACAGCATTCTCACGCATTTTCAGCAGGAAATGCATTTTCTAGTTATTATTTCAACAAAAAGGTGGCTCTCAATAACTTCAGCATACTTTCAGCTACAGAAACCATTCAAATATCAAAATAGTCAGCCTTTTCAACACATGATGGGACACTTTGAACTTTTTCAAAATATGTTATACTTTTGGAAATATTCAGCTTTTTTAACTCTTTTTTTAACATGTAACTCAATGGGAGGAACCTTCAAATCCTCTTTTACCTACACTGTGTGCCAAATGCTACTCCTTCCGCATACTTTCAGCTAGAGACTTCATTCCAACTTTAAAACAGTCAGAAGACCTTCAGCTATTAAAATTGTATTCAGATCTTTGATATTTTTGACACTTTTTGAGATATTTAACCTAGTTTGGAGCTTGGTAAAGAGGTCTTCTTCAGATTTTAACATTAGTATGTATTGCGCAGCTCGTTAAGGGTTAGAGTGCGTGATGTCACAGCTAGAGTGGAGGAGAGCTTGAAATTCGACTTCAACCTTTTTCTTCAACCTGCCATAACTCCCAAACCCTACACTCCTTGGACATAATTGTTCATGAAAAACGTAGGAAAACCTCTCTTACGTTGAAAAATAAATATTTGTATCAAAATGCCTCTTGAAGGCATGAAGTGACAACAACTTTCAACATGTCTCCATTAAGGCCCATTGTAAATTCAGCGACATCTTTCATCACAGCACAAGCTGCACACCTTTAGTTAATCTGCCAAAAAAGCCACATTATTGACCCAAAAGTACACAAAAAGCACATTTAATAATAATAATAATAATTTCAATTTATATAGCGCCTTTCACGAAACCCAAGGACGCTTTACAATGGGAAGTAACAAAAAAAAAGTAATAATAAAGAGACATAGGCTGAAGAAAACAAAAACAGGAACAGGTTGCTGAGTACTGTATATTAGTTGAGGCCAAAGGCCTGAGTGAACAGATGGTGTTTGAGGTGTTTTTTGAAGGCTTGAGACGCTCCTCAGGGTCCTGACATACTCCACGCGTTGACATTTTACCAATAGCAGCTACCGTTATATAGATCAAATGTAAGAGGTTTATTTCTCATTCAGAATAATGGAAAGGCTCTCCTTTCACTGATCACTGCACATCACCATGGTAACCTTTGATCTCTGGGCTCACACCAGAGATGGAGTACTCGATTCCCGGACTCGACTTGAGTCGGACTCGAGTGTCGATTTTCGGGACTCGTGACTCGACTCGGACTCGCGCACTGATTGATGCGGACTCCAACTCGGACTCGAGAATTCTCGCGCACCATGACTCTGACTCGGACTCTGACTCATGAATTCTCGTGCACGATGACTCTGACTCGTGAATTTTTCCCCCACGATGAGTCGGACTCGACTTGTACATTGATGCTCCGACTTGGACTCGGATTCGAGCAAGTTTTGTCTCGAGTCAGATTTTGTCCTGTCGTGTGCACCTTTTTTTAATTTATTTTGTACCTTTATTTAGACAGATAGGTCCCTTGAGATCATGGGAGGCGAGTTCACGTACTGGGCGCGCCCCCCCGCTATTCCAGTCTAAAGATGTCCAGAGACACACCCCGCATCATGCTGTATGCTTTCACTGATTTTGCTTCCACATTGGGAAAGAGCAGCGCAAAATACTCGTTATGTGGACAAAAGATTGAAGAGAGGGCTCCATAACACATTACTCTAAGGATCGAGTTCAGACATAGGCTGTCTTGAAGACTATCATCAGAGTAACGTGATCAAATCAATAAATCTTTATTGATATCATTTAAACATTCACTATAATAATTATAGCGTCCCCGGCTGAATGGTCAGACTCTCCAACTGATGGTATCTATTTATTGCACACCCTTGCTTGTATACAATCATTACCAACGTAAGAGCTTGTGCCCTTATCAGCCAGGGGCTAAAAACCCAATGTACTGTAACTATTTAGTATATGTCAATGTATTTGTCATCTATCCGTCATAATACATGTGTGTCAACTTCAGTGTTTACACTGCTCCGTTGTCCATTAACTTCTGGTAAAGGTTCCTTCAAAATAAGAGTCCCGATCTTATTACTATCAAAATAAAAGTGCAAAACGAAAGGTAGGTGTTACTCTCATCTGGCGAAGTGGCGAAGTCCCTCCCTTTCCGGTGGACCTCCATGGGACCTTATTTCGGAAAAAGTATGTATGGAAGTCAATGGCGAGAGAAAGATTATCTCTCGATCCCGTTTGAATTGTGCCACGAATTACACATATGATGTTTGTCAATTTAAAAGATAATTTTGCAAATTAAAAAAATTAAGAAAGAATATTAAACAAAATGCCTCTTGAGGGCATGAAGAGACAAAAAGTCCACCTTGCTCCCAATTGATTCCCATGTTAAAAACATCCGGACCTTTCTTCAGAACAGAGAGAAGTACACTTTAGACAAACTGCACACACAAAACCCAAAAAAACAACATAACTGTTCATTGGGGTTCCCTGATGCTCACGGTCTGGTCATTTTTTGATAGGAGCCATAGTTTTTGAACAGGTGGCAATATTGTCAGATATAATCCTCAATGCATTCTTATGGGACTCAGTGCTGCAGCTGGTAACCATGGTGTTGCTGGGCAGATTGAAAGCTTTGATCTCTGGGCTCACACAGGTGTTATGATTATTTGTTGTGATTAGGTGCTCAGCACAGAAACAAACACCGACAGACTGGCCTTTAACAGACTGTCTCAGCCTATTCTTTTCTGTCTGATGGAGACTTCATACAGACTTCAACAGGTTCCACATATTTTATACATTATTAGTGACGTATGGTTTTAGTCGAAAAGTTTGCAGTCAAAATATTCTTCTGCTTTCCCAAGCCTTTTTACTTTCTTTTCTCATCTTAATACAAATTCATTCACTACTACTTACATCTGATATTTAACTCCTTCAGCCTATTTTCAGCTGCAGAAACCATTCAACTATTACATTATTCAGCTATTTCAGGACATCAAGGCTATACATGTTGTTGTTTATACCTTTTTTAAACCTTTTCTTTGAAATATTCAGCTTTTTCTGCATTTGTTTAGCTAAAAGCAGCTACCATTCAGCTAATAACACATTCAGCTTTTTCTGCATTTTCAGCTAAATTCAGCCATAAATGTTCACAGTTTACAGCATTCGCACACATTTTCTGCAGGAAATGCATTTTCTAGTTAAGTATGTAGCCGTGTAATAAGCGGGATAATGTGCTCCGCTTCGCATCAAGTGTTGTTTTTTCAGTAATGACCGCAGCACATTATCCCTTACTTGGATCACCAGATTCATTTTTCTCGCTCGCGTATCAGGGGTTCTGTACACTCTGTGCTTTTATATGAAACTTTATTCTGCTAACCGTCTGAATTCCCTGGTAGAAAACATATTTAATTCTGATTTAGACCCAGTCATTAATTATAAATTAAAGAGAAAACATACCTGGACATATTAAAAAATATTTATTGGAAGAACAATTGTGTTGGATTTGTGTTTTCAGTCACTAAGAGACTCTGAAACTGTTACTGTTAATCAGCTTTAATCACCTGTAAACACTCACACATCCGCCCGCCTGACGGAGACAGCTACAGCTCTAATGAGTCTTTATCCCAACATTCAAACCACATAAAGGAAAACCACACACACACACATACATACACACACATACACACACACACACACACACACACAACCCCCCCCCACACACACAGCTCTACCTGTCTCGTGCCTCCAGGTGTTTTCATCTCTCTGTGGTCTCTGCAGTGTCACATATCAAACGTCCCGCCTTCACCTGAGGCTTCCAGGAAGGAAGCGCTGTCTCCACCGACTGATGCGGTCGAGCTTCAAACGCACCTTCAAAAAACTTCTGAGAGACAGGACGGATCAGAGGGGAGCAGAGGGGTATAAAAAACAAACGCACCTGAAGGAGGAAACACACCTAGCAGAGAGGATCAGACAACATACTGGCATTTAGAACACATTTATCTAAATTATATTTAAAACAGCAAATAATTAATCGTGAGGCTCGGATAGACCCTGGATTTAAACAAATTATTCTTATAACAAGATCAACAGGGGTTTGAATTTGAGAAAACTGATATAGTTAAATCAGCAGGAATATATATTTTTGTAAGGAGACTGGACTGATTGAAGAGACAGCAGAGTCACTTGTAAAAAAAGAAAACAAGCTGAGAGGGTCACATTTTAAAGCTGCAAACAGAGCAGAAATTATACTTGGTCAATTTGATCAAATCTGAAGTTTCTGCCGGTTTCGTCCCCTCTGTTGTGAGTGATAGACGGAAAAGAAAGGAGGATCGAACCGTTATTTATCAGCCGGTGGGAGGATGTGGATGTGGCGCAGCTTCCTGTGTGTGTCGGTGGTGTGTGGCCTGGCTCTGGACTCCAACACCATCAGATCCTCTAAAGAGCAACAGAGCCCCGAGCTGCCGGTAAGACAAAGGATCAGTATTAATACTGCACCATATTTTAAAAGGGGAACATGTATTTCATTCTGCACTAGATCCATCTGACTTTAAACTTATTATCAACTTTATACATTTACTCACTAGTGTCAGATACAAATATTATATTCCCAAAAATATATACTTTTTTTGTTGTAATTAAGTACAGAGGAATTGAGTCAGTCCAATTGTGTCCATCAGCTCAAAGGTTATCTTCATTTGAGCATTTTTATTTTTGAAGACTTTCAATATTAATTTTGGTTTATCTGACAGCTGGAGTTTATTTACTTTTATTAGTATTAATATTAATAATAATAACAAAAGAGCATAATTCAGATTCATTGTACAGTGGGTAACAAAGAACAATAAAGTCAGGGTAAATCACATCAGACAAAAACATTACATTTAAATCAGAAATTCACTTATTGCTCAGCATTCTTTAGGGAAACAACAAATAATGTATTTTTTATTGTTAAATGTACATTTACGAATAAAACTAATGATGACATTCTTTATCAAATGTTTTATAAGGGTTATTTGTCGCCCTTTCATGTTTTTTTAATAGCTATTTTAATATTAATTATTTAAAGATATAACAAATAACAGAATTTCTTGGTGTTAAAGGAACAGCGCCAAAATAAGTGTAAAACGCTTTTTATTTTAAAGGTAGTTTTACGTTATTTGACTGACGTAAATAACGAAAGTCAGCTGTTCATTTTTAGTTGAATGTTTTAGACGAAAGGAGACATTTGAAGGCATCATAACTAATTCAAGAACCAAGACAATTATCCAGATTACACGTGTAAATCTTAGTCTCAATCATTACGTAAATACAGAACCCTCTCAGTTTAATAACATTTTAAAGTTAGTGAATACACATGCCTTTAACTCTCTGAGGGATCATATGATCTGATTTAAGGTTTTTTATTACATTAACTTTCAGTAAGTTGATATTTCTTTCCAAAGTGTATTCAGCCATGAGGATACAGTTCAGAAGAGCAAGTACATCCACTTTCAAAGAGCAATACCTTTTGAAGTGCTTTGTAGTTGTTTTATGTCTTTTTGTGGTAATTTCAAGCGTCTTTGTAGTCATTTTCAAACTCTTTGCTGTCATTTTGTGTCGCTTTGAACTCATGTTGGGACTCTTTGTAGTCATTTAGAGTGTTTTTGTATTTCCTTTGTGTCTCTTTGGAGTCATTTTGTATCTCTGTGTATTTTAGCCCCTTCTCTTAATCGTTGTGAGCCTCTTTGCAAAGGCCAAAAGAGGGCCCTGACAGACTTAATGTATAATATTAGTAGCAGCAAGTTTGAAACATGTATGGTAATATATATTATAATAATAGTAGTGGTTATATAACTAGTAGTAGTTCCATAACTTAACTAGCCCTAGCAGTAACAATTCCTTTTTGTATAGGTAATTACACTATCAGTTATACCAGCCAGGTTCATCAGAAGTATCAGCACCATATTCAGTTGAGTTCACTGAAATAACTGAAACGTTGACTTTAATTAAATGTATTACATTTCACTGTATTAGGTTAGTTGAAAGCAATAATATTAAGTTGAACTTAATTATTTAGATATTATTGCTTTCAACTAACCTTAGCGTTAGGTTTCAGTGTTGAATATTAATATCTGACAGATGTAGAACTTATATCACTACTGACCTTGTCCATCAGGATCGTTACCAAGGTGAACAGTTGGAGCGTCCTGTACGGCGCCGGACGGAGACCTCCTTCAACTCCAACAGAGGACAAACACCTCCATGTTCCACGCCTGACTGCTACGTACCTCCGGTGAGTGACAGACAGCAGACACACACACACACACACACACACACTCACTCACTCACTTACACACACACATACCATGTATACATCACTTCAGGGGACATTACATTGACTTACATGCATTTCCTGGAGACTTATCCTAACCTTAACCATAACCAACACATGCCTAACCCTTACCCTTAACCTTACCCTTACCCTAAACCTAAACCTAACCAAGTCTTCACCCTAAAATTAATGATTCCCCTCATGGGGACCTCCATTTTGTCCCCATAAGGGAGGCGAGTCCCCACACGTGACTGTGTAGACAGATTTAGGTCCCCACAAATATAGTAATGCTAGGCCACACACTCACACTCACACACACACACACACAGACATTGATACAAAAATGACGGGTTTTGTTGAGCTTCAGTATACTTTGTCTTTGGAATTTAACTGCGACAAATATAGCCCTACAAATTGTCCTGGCAAAACCACTAAGAAATGTTGGTACTTTAATTACATTTTAAAGGTCACCTATATGCAAAATCCACTTTTTCATGTATTTTATACATAAACGTATGTAAAGAGATTCTGAAAATGTTAGGCAAAAAGATTCGCTCACTTTTTTGTCCTGATCCATTTATATAAAAACCTGTCTGAAAATGAGCTGATCAGATTTTGGCCACTTTATGATGTCATAACGATTTTCTGGCTTGTGTAACCATTAGCCAATCACCAACCAAGGTAACACATTAAAAAATAATTGTAATGCTCTGTCCTTTCTCTGTCCAATGATCTTATCATGTCCCATCAGAGGGGAGGCTGCAGCAACAGAGCTCAGAGGAGACCGTCCTCCCAGGACAGACATGTGGACAGACAGCAAGACAGAGCGACAGACAGAGAGACAGACAGGCTCTTCACGGACGGCTTCAACAGGACTAAAGGTGAGAGACCGAAAGTCAACAAGTCCCAGAACACAACTGGAACAGTGATGTTTATCCAAAAACATTATATAAGATAGTATAACTCTGACAGAGTATATCATACGCCGAAATACATACCATTACTTTAAGTAGCCCATACAAACTTTCACTTTATGTTCATTTTGCTGATAATATGTACATCATTTCACTTCAGTCAGGTTGCGAAAGCAGTACCTCAACTTGTAGTAGAGTATTTTCATAGTATGGTATTAGTACTTTTACTGCAGAAATGGTGTTGGCACAAAGTTAGCATCACAAAAATCCAATGACATTTTTGGGGAATATTGCAGAAAATAAGATCTTTGGCAAACACATGTTTATGATATTTGCACGTATTGTTCAGCAGGAAAATCTCCACATATTAACAACGCTTTATGATTGTTGCAGCGTAAATGCAATCGCCAGAAGTAAAAAGGCTAACATTAGGCAATAACCAAACTGCATGAAGGTCATACGACATCAAGTGAGCGCCGGTAAGCTAAAGGCGGCTAATGTTAGCGGGATGGCATTTAGTCGTCTCATTTAGTCACATGTGGCAACACATAAAAGCTTCAGACAATCCCCAGTGGTATTTACTGACATATTTTATATCGTAGAAGAAAACGTGAATATTTCTTCAGCTTGTGTTGGCCACAGACCTTATTTCAGGCATAAAACCAAAAACTAATTAAAAAAACGATTGACTTCAACACGAGCGAACCAGAAGAGCTAAAATGCTAACTCATTTCCAGCTTTGAGGACTCATTCTTGCACCACTCTATAAGGACATGTGGTAAACGGTGTGTCTCTTGCAGCTCCGGAGATGTCGAGCTGTGTGCGCTCCGGTGACTGTGCGGCCGGTCTGTGCTGTGTCCGCTATCTGACCGGAAAACGGTGTCAGAGGATCCCGGGGGAGGGGGAGGCCTGTCTGCTGCGGGGGTCCACCAAGCTGAGGAGGAAGCTGGGGCGCTGTGACTGCGACGCGGGGCTGTCCTGCACCGCCGTCAGCCGGCCGGAGACAGGGAGAGCCAAAGGCCAGGGGGTGTGTGCACTCCGCCAGAGAGAGGGCCAGAGGAAAACAAGGCATTCTGGGAAGAAGAGGAGGACGGCAGAGAGGAGCTGCTGAAAGACTCTTTATGAACTCTGTAGCTTTTGAACACATTTAATTTAATCGTTGGTTCAGTTTTATAGGAATATATTTTTTGTGAGTGACTTCTTTCTCAATGTGGTTCCCATACTGAGGAACGTGAGGAAAAAGTTACAAATGATTTCTTATTATTGTCATTTGACTCAATAAAAGTCACTGTAGTATAATATTAAGGAGTATGGCTGTTTGAAGTATATTGAAGAGAGTCCAGAAAATGGAAAAAAGTAAAATTTGAAAAAGCAGAGAGCAATTTATAAAATACAGTTATTAATAATACAAATCCTACTAACTGGTTGTTGTAAAATAAAAACGTACAAGCGCAAAGCACTGGTTGGCAAAAATCATTCTTATTACATACGGCACTAGCAAAGCTGCACGCTGCTTAGCTAGTGCCGTATGTAATGAGAATGATTAGCTCGTGTTGAATGATCAACGCGAGCTCCACAGATGGATAAAACAGAACTGATCAACGAAACGGTAATCGATTCACAATCTAACAGAATTTATTCTCTGGATCTCAGTAATGTTAAACGTGATAAAAGTGAGCAGTGATTACTGAAATGCAAGCTAGCTCAACATGCCTGCAACCAACTTCATTCAACACAAAAGCAGTGTTCCCCTGTAAGTGTACACATGGCCAACAGGACACACAACACTTATGTAGCTTTTTTTTGTCATTAGGTCCTAAAGATCAAAGGTCAAATGCGCTAAAAGCCAAATATAAAATTCATTTTTCTCTCCTCTATTAATGTGACTGAGTTGAGATCAAGGGGATTGGAGCGGGGGTTAAGGAAAACGCAAGGGCACATCGTGAATGTGTTTAGAAAATGTGTCATAGCCGTCTTTCATATCATAAAACTAATGTTTTGTTGTTATAAGAATAAAAGTAATAGACAAAGAAAATATATATGAAAATAAACAGTAACATAATTATTAGAAATCCTCTGTGGTTAGTGCTTCTAGCAGATGTTGGTCCTCAAGCTGCCCGGATTCCTGAGAGCTTCTCTGCTTATATCAAAACACGCACTCAATAAAATTGAGGAATCGATTTGCAGGTGCAAACGCGGAACAACGGCCCAAAACGCATACATAAGCAGGAAACACCTGCAAATAATGAAATAAACAACAAACCCTGAAAACAAATACAACAGAAAAACGCTGCATTTACAGAAATGATGCAGTGTGTTGTAGCACATACAAATCCCAAAACACATACAAAAAAAATATTCCGGAAGTGCTCCAGGCCTCTAGGGGGCGCGCTACGTCGAACAGATTGATGACTGACCAGACATAGAGAGAACGAACAAGAGTGCTGCAAATCGGGAGGAAAAAAAGATATAAGAAGGTAAGTTTTGTTTTTATACATAGAGCGTCATATTTATATAGCTAGCGTTAGTGTGCCTAACTACTACACCAGCTGAGGAGAGGAGAGCTTCACGTGAAGAGAAGATAAAGTGAGGGAAGAAGAGATGACAAATCAAGTGCAGGTGTTACCGAACAAGATGTGGGCCGAACAACTGGTGATATTCTATAACGGTAAGCAGATGTATCAGGGGCGTGGCCTTTGTCGAATAACCAGGAAATACACATTTCGATCGCTTCTTCTGTCGTTTACATACATCTTTTGGTATATTTGGCTGGATAGGAACACTTTCATGCACTTTCAGTACCAGTGTGTGAGGTTGTGGTTGCGATACCGATATCCGGACGCGTACAGCGAGGACTACAAAAAGACACACGAGGTGACTGGGGGTGTGTGTTCAAAACATTGAAAGCTTGAATAAATCATTTAAACCATTTATTTTTGCCAGACTTATTACTGAATATCGTTCTTAATGTGATACCAAGTCCATCTGAGACCTGTGTACACCTTCAGACAGCCTCCAAGTGAAGCACATGTTGTTTACTCCCAGTTTGAAAGCAGCGTGGAGAAGTCTTGGTAACACTTTACGGTAAGGGTACATGAATCATCATGAATTCATGCATGACTTAATGCATGAAAAAGCATGAATTAATTCATGTAGTACTCATGTAGTAGGCTACTTCATGAACTATCAGTAATGTACAGGTATTAATGGTATCTCATGCATGACTTAATGCAGGAACAATACCTTAATTAATGCATCAACTAAGGTATCTCAATCATCATGACTTCTGAGTTATTAATTATGTTCATGTCTTCTTCATATAGATCTGCAGTTATCTGCAGGCCAAAAAAACAGACCAGTCACAGCAATTCCAAGTGTTGTAAATCATGAGTAACTAAGCATGACTTTGTCATTACTTCATCATGTTTGTGCCCCTTCAAAGTAAAGTGTTACCTATATTGGTATCATGTATCGTTATTAATATGATGTCGAGTTGATTTGAGACCCGTTTATACTTTCATACCATCTATTAGTGAAACTAACTGTCTGAGTTGTTTACACCCATCTCCTCCAACGCAGCGTGGAGCTGTGGTAAACTGTGATCCGCTCAGATTAAACTGTGATACGACTTCTGTGGCTATCAACCAGCGATCATGTTTAATATTAAAGACTACACACATGTATCCCCCTTATCAAAACGGTATTCTGCACTTTGCCGCACTTATCCAGATAAGATGTGACTGTTTACTCGTTTTGCAAAGATAGAAGCAGAAATGTCATTGCTACATTTGCAGGGATATTTAGACTTTAAAATGCTGCTTGATCATTAATTTTGTTCTAGGCAAACAATATTATGAATCCTATTCAAAAATATTATTCAGTGTGCATCGACATGAAAATAACTAAAAAGTTCATGCTGGACTCAAACCCAAGTCCCAATAGCAAAAATCCCTCGTGCCATGCGCGTTATGAGCAGTGTTACTGTAACGCCGTTATTTTTGGCGGTAACTAGTACTCTAACGCATTACTTTTTTAATTCAGTAACTCAGTTACCGTTACTACATGGTGCGTTACTCCGTTAGTTTTTTTTATATAGTCAACAGCCAGGCGAACAGAGATGAGAACTGTACTTAAGTACAGTACTTGAGTAAATGTACTTAGATACTTCCTGTGTCACATGCGGAGACGGGCAGTGGGCGTGTTTGTGTTGTTTACTAACAAGACTATCATGGCGGCGGCGGAGCTCAAGTCTAGTTTCTCCACCTGGAGATATTCTCACTATTTCATTTTTGTCGAGCACAAAGAAAAGAACGTTTTAGTTAAATGTAAGTTGTGTCTTGGCGGGTCAAAGATCCTATCTACTGCCCAAACCAGTAATTCAAATCTCTTAAAACATCTGCAAAAACAACATGCTGGGACGAAGCTAGTAGCTAAGACCACAGAGACTCAGCCGACGCCACTCCACCTCCACCTAAGCAACAGCGGCTGGATTTTAACCAAGGGACTGCTAGCCAGGGAAAAGTCGATCAATCAATCAATCAATGTTTATTTATATAGCTCAATATCACAAATGTTACATTTGTCTCAGTGGACTTTACAGTTTGTACAAAATATCAGTATGACAATACGACACCCTCTGTCCTTAGACCCTCACATCGTACAAGGAAAAACTTCCGAAGAAAACCCACAGTTTAAAGGGAAAAATGGGAGAAACCTCAGGGAGAGCAACAGAGGAGGGATCCCTCTCCCAGGACGGACAGACGTGCAATAGATGCTGTGTGTAAATTGAAAAGATAATACATTTGCAACATAGGTAGTCCAAATGTTTGGAAATGCATGTGTGTATAATAGGAAGATGAATCCACGAGGATATCCATCCAGGACCTATGATCCAGGACCACAGCCACGACTCAAGATCCAGGCTCGCGATCCAGGACAGAGGAGCGCAGGATCATCCATGACTCCGGATCCCGGCGTATATAGACACCAAAAAGAAAGACATTTGGGGAAGCTGGGTTAATCGGAACATGAGAGTACACAGGTATAGACAGAGAGAAGGAAGAAGTAAGATGTCCCCCCCGACCCCGCTGAATCTAATCAGCCCTAACTATAAGCTTTATCAAAAAGGAAGGTCTTAAGCGCACTCTTAAAAACGGATAGGGTGTCTGCCGCCCGAACACAAACTGGAAGCTGATTCCACAAATGTGGAGCTTGATAAGAAAAGGCTAAAAGATAAAGCCATTGCACGGTATGTTGTAGAACACATGCAGGCTATTGCTACAGTGGAGTCACCCGCTTTCAGGGAGCTAGTTAGCATGATAGCATGTCCGGGCGGCACACGGCATATGGGACGGAAAACTTTTTCCAACTACCTGGAGAAATAATATACAAAAATGGAAAGCCAGCTAATATCGATGCAATCCAGATTGCATATAATGCATGTCAAGTTGATCAACAGATTGTATTATTCTCCAATGCAATAACAGTACTGAAATGAAGGCTTTAAGGGCATTAATGGGAGCCCTTTTTTAAGTAACTAAAACGTTACTTTTCACAACGCATTACTTTTTGATGTAAGTAACTAGTAAAGTAACTGCGTTACTTTTGAAATGAAGTAACTAGTAATGGTAACTAGTTACTGGTTTTCAGTAACTAGCACAACACTGGTTATGAGTGAGCCACGGATCAATATGATGAATTTTATCATCACAGGTTATTTTCTCACATTAACATTGTTAAAAGAGTCAGAGCAATTCAACCCGACCATCTTTTATAATGTGAGCGAATGTATGTACACTTTAAGCCATATAATATAAATATTATAGTCATAGGCATTTGCTTTGAAATAGTATACTGACTGAGCATCATTAAGACCCACCGAGATCAGATATCCTAGTTTATCAGCCTGCGAGCCTACATTACGTTGTGATAAGTGGTCATTTTACGTATTATGTATTCTAGTGCACCAGTGGCGGTTCTAGACCAATTTGACTGGGGGGGGCCAGTTATTTTCTGAGGGGGGCACAATAAATGCAGGACGAAAAAGAGAACTAGACAGTATGAAGTAATTGCGCATAAGAAAACAATGCAATCCAGTTATTGGTATTTGTT